GAGAACAAAAGAAAGTCATATGGTGCTTTTTCAGGGTCGGGGCAGGGGTCAAAGGAGGCCCAATTTGGGACAATGCACTTCAAATGGGTAATGGGAACTAAGACCGTGCTTCCTGTTTTTTGGAAAAACATCAAAAGGAGAGAAAGCATCTCTTGTTTTCCCTACTGAAGTTCTTTCTAGCCCAAGTGCTGTTATGGCTTGTTTGCAGCTGTCCCCCCCAAAACTCCATGTGGTCATGAGTAGGGCTTTTCAGAGATGGCTGGATCTAGGGCATGTGATGCTGGGATTAAGAGTCATGGTGTAATGTTAGGATTAAGGACAGGTAGCCTGGATAAAATATAAGAGACAGAAAGACAGTGATGGCTCCTCAGTTCTTGTTTGCTGTCATCTGCCTGCCCCACTTTGCCATGAACTGTTTCTCCTCTGCAGTGTCCCTCCACCGTAACATCCTGCCCCGGAGCCAGCCCACTCTGGATTGAAACCTCTACAAGCTAAATAAACCTTTACTCTTTTAATTCTGAGTGTCGGGTATTTTGTCTCAGCAGTAATAAAGGTAACTAAAACAATGTGTCTTGGCCACCTATGAGGTCCAGGGAGTGAGGCTACCAACAAGTTGCTCTGACTGGCACACTTTTTCTCATCGCTTGTATCCCTAAAGCTCTTTGGTTGTGACCAGAAACTGGACTTCCTTTAACCAAAAGAAGTGAAATGCCTCTGTAAGTGAACAAGACTGACCATTAGACTCTCTGTTATGCACTGAAAGGCAATAAAGATTAAAGTGCAGTAGCATCCTGGCAGCCACAAAGTCAGGCAAAGTAGTCTATGTATTCTTTTAAAAGAGCCATACTTGCCATTAAACCCAAATTCAAAGCAGAGATTTCAACTCGACCTACGTAATTGTCTAGCAGGCTGTCACCAGCATGTGCCCGTACAAGATCCCCATCTAAGAAGACAGGAAATCCTACTTGACTGTAGTGTCTCCTGTCTTTGCATCTCCAGCACAGATGGGAAGAAGGACCACTGCTGACAGACCAGAGAGGGCACCTGAGAAGTGGGGAAAAGTAACTGATGATTTAAGGGTCAGAACTCTAGCCTTTTAGCCACCTTTGAGCAACAAGGAGGTTTAGCAGGAACAGTCTAGGGTTACCCAAACCAACAAGAACAAAAATTTAAAATAGGCTAACATTTCTTTTCATAAACTTTATCTTCTATAAACCTTTCTTGACATAACTAGAATTCCTAGGTTTTGTCAGGGGTTTTTTTGTTTTTGTTTTTTTGTACCGGGGGTCAAACTCACAACTTTGCGTTTACCAAGCAGGTACTTACACCGCTGAGCTAAACCCCCAGCCCTTAGACACTATATTTTTTTCCATTTTGATAGAGTAAAACCTTTATCATATAAAATTTTCTAATACCAGAAATAATCTTTTTTTTTTTTTTTGTCTGAGACAGGTTCACTGTGAAATTCAGGCAGAACTTGAACTCAGTTTGTAGCCCAGGCTGACCTCAGACTCACAACAATCCTCCTGCCTCAGTCTCCTGAGAGCTCAAAATGTACTTTTATGCCTCTACTTTTCTTCATATTTTTTTCTTTTCTTGCTTTTTTTTTTTTTTTTTTTGATACTGGGAATTGAACTCACGACCTCACACTTGCCAGGCAGGCACTTATGCCACTGAGCTAAATCTCCAGCCCATATTTCTTTTTATATCCTATTTACTTGTTTCTTTCTGCTTGGATTTTTTTTTTTTTTTTTTTGTATTGAGAACTGAACTCGCAACCTTTTGTGCTTGGATTTTAAAATGTCCCCAGAACACTTTTTATTTTCAGTCTCAGAGTGAGGTTACAGATGTTTACATTACAATTATGACTGACTGGCCAACAGAACTCTAAGTGGCCTTGGGAGGCATCCATATTTTAGACTAGTCAGAAAGCAGCAGAAGAGCACGTTAACCCTGAATTGTGGTTTTAAAGAACTACATTAATGCAAAAAAAGAAAAAGAACTACATTAATGCACCAGAAATGCATTAAGATACCAATTAAGTAAAAAAATTACCAAAATTACCAAGTCAAATTGGAATCCAAAAGTAAACATATCACCAATCAAGATTTGTCTTAATGGCCTCTTATCAATTCCCTGAAGGTTACCAGGAAGGCTTGTTCCCGTTCCTGGATCTCTAGAGGAGTTAACTCCAATTTTGTCACCCATTAGGACCCAGTGCAGGCTGCATACCACTTAAGAGTTTTTCCCTTCATCCTAAAAAAATGAAAATTATAACCTTTGTCTACAAGTGCCAGTTTGGGCCAGGTGTGGTGGCTCACGCCTGTAATCCCAGCACTCGGGAGGCTGAGGCAGAAGGATCATTGCAAATTCGAGACCAGACTGGGCTACAAAGTGAGCTCAAGGCCAGCCTGAACTACACAGAGAGACCTTGTGTCAAAAAGACTAAATAAATAAATAAATGTACCAGTTTGGTTGGACATGGTGGCACATATCTGTACCCCTAGTACTTGGGAGGCTGAGGCAAGAGGATCACTGCAAGTTTGAGGCCAGCCTGGTGTACATAGTGAGCTCAAAGCCAACCTGAATTACAAAGAGACACCCTACCTAAATAAACAAACAAACAAAGGCACCAGTTTATCCTACACTCAGGAGGGTAGGTGAGCAATTTGGCAGGTGGGAGGGGCATGACAGGAAGAACATGTCTCACCAGGAAAACAAAGACTAACAGGCAAGCTCTCCAGCACTCGGAAGCAACAAAAGTACAACATTTAGGATTCAAAAAAAGATTGTGTGCCAAAGACATTTTAACCTTTGGCTGCACAAACATAAACCACAGACCTAGCAGATGTGTGGAAGTTGCCTTGCAGCCCCTACAGTCCTTCATCCCAGGACTAAGTTATCCTTTGAAGACAGTCTTTGAAATGGCAGATGCTCTAATGGATTTTAATGATCTAACCATGTCTGAAAATGTATAATGAGACAATTAAGATGAGACAATATACTACATAAGATCTCTTTTACCTGGTGGCTCAGCTTGCCAAGAAAAGGAGATATGTTAGAGAAAGGCAATTTGTTCTAATGCCTGCAGGGAGTTAAAGGAGCAATATATCCAAGGACTATTAGTCCTTGCTAATGGAAAAATCAAATCAGAAAGGAAAACTGAATCAAGACTGGGCTAATGTTCCTTTCACTCATGTTAGAGGGGGATTAGCTCAGATCACATCAGTGAAACCTGTCCCAAGGACTTAAAATTGGCAACTGTTCTAATTACCTTTAACTTGTCAATGGGGTCTCCTATAGTTTTGAGCAGATAGCCATAAAGTGAAAGCAAAATCCTGGACAAGCTCCCAAACAGGTTACCAGAACACCGGGGCTGTGTACCATGATGACTAAGAATGAAACTGAGGATGAGGGGCTTGAATGCAAGCAAATTTACTCAAGATATAAAGGAAAGAAAGTAAATGGTATAAAGGCTAGGATGTAAAGCTTCTGCTGGGCAGGAGGCTGTTTTGAGTAGAACACCCACGAGGGTTCTTATCTAGTTGGTTGGTTTGCTTGCTTTTTGAGACAGGATCTCCTTATGAACTCAATGTGTAGTACATACTGACCTGAACTCGTGGTGGTCCGCCTGCCTCCTAAGTGCTGGGATTACAGGCATGAAGTGTCACAAAGGTATATCTAGGGGTTTTCAAGGGATTTACAAGGAGTTTCAGTCATTGTGTAAGCAACATAATTTTTTCTACCCCATAGAAGACTCCATTTTTGTTTGTTTAATCCATGCAGTGTTCACTGTGTCCAGGCAAGGCCCATGTGCCCTGGAGCCAGTGACCTGCCTGATCATGTTCTGTAGAGGTCTCATACAGCTGAAGAATATATGGCAAATATTTTTGTAAAATCTCTGGAATTTAAAAAAAAATTTAAAAAAAATTTTTTTTGAAAGAGTATTGCTGTTGCTATGTTGTCCAGACTGGTTTTGAACTAAGAAGCCCAGGCAGGCCTCAAACTTGCTGTGATCCTCCTGTCTCATCTTTCCAGGTGCTGGGGTCACAGGGATGCACTACTACACCTGGCAAGACCTCTGGACTTCTAATTTTGATGTCACTAATTCTAGTTACAAACAGACAAATCTAAGTGACTCTGCCTCTCCCATTTTTTTGTCCCATTGTCTTTTTTTCCTATAAAATTTTTAATAGATATTTCATGTGTCCCAGCAGATGAATAGTATTTATTGATTTATACAGTTCTTATTATGTGATCAGCTTCATTTTAAGCTTTTTACATGCTATTCATTGCTTTAAATTTTACAACCTTTCATATAGGTATTATCAGGATTCCAATTTTATAAAGTTTCTGTGGCTTACAAGGATAAAGTGGCTTTATTTACAGAAACATCTTACTTGCCACCTCTGGAAATACTCTGAACATTCTATTTAGCTATGTAGAGCCTAACAGCAGCTTTCTAGTGATGTGTGAACGAAATGCACTCACTCCTACACTCCAAGGGCCAGGCAACCAATCTCACAAGAACATAGTAGCAAAGATGTCAAAAAGATTTTCCTTTGTTGTTGACCTGTCAAACATAAATCTTCCTGATTTTACGGCCTCAAAACGTATTTATTTTTGATACAAAGTCTTGTTATGCAGTTCAGGGTAGTTGAACTCATTGTGGAGCCCTGCCTGACCTGAACTCGCCAGATCGTCCCTCCTGTTTGCCAAGTGCAGCGATTACAGGTCTGCGCCACCACACCAGGCCTCCCCAACATTTTACCGCACATTCTTTTAGTTCTCCCTCACTAGAACAGTTGCGAACATCCACCAGCACAGAGCTTTGGAAAGCAGAACCACTCCTTGCCCGGAACAAAGCTCCCTTCTGCCCTTAAGAAAAATGGCACCAGACACACGCATTTCCGGCCGGGGAGCCAAACAGAATAGGGAGAGGGCCAGAGACCGGAAGTCTCCGCCTTTTGCCACGCCTCCTGCCTTTTTGAGTCCAGCCTCTCTCCAGACGATGCCAGCTGGGGGTTGTGGCTGAGCTTGGGTTCCCGGGTGACAAGTCCAAGCTGGGGAAGTGTGAGTGCGCGCTCCCTTGACCGCTGGCAGGTTTGCGACTCGGGGTGACCTTCAAGTGGCCAGGGACGGAGGGCGGAGAGTTGTGAGCCTGGCGCTCTGTGACGAGGCGCTGCCGCCGCCACTCCGCCGGCGCCACCGCGGTCCTTCAGGAAAGGAGCAAGCGAACCGGAGGGCCGCCAGGTCCCCAGGCCGGGCCTGGTAGGAGGAGGTTCGGGCCGCGGCCGCGCGGGGCCGGGGCCGGGGCGGGGCGGGTCTGGCCCGCGCTTGGGGCGGGTTCCCGTGGCCGGCGTGTCGCGCGTGGGAGGCCCTCCCCAAGGTAGGTGGTCACACCGGCCCAGCCGGCCCCTTTCCACGGGAAGCGCCCCGCGCGGTCACTAATGACCCTCTGAGTGGGTCTCCTTCTGACCAGTGCTCAGTCCACGCACAGTGGATGGGATTGGATTGTGATTGTCTTTAGTCTGTCTTTAACGAGCCTCCAGACAGGAAAAAAAAATTCGTTGTAAACTTAATTCTTTGAAGTTTTGTGTACTTTGGAAGCGATAATGACTTCTTTAAGGCTTGCCTCATTGGTTGTGATGAAAGCTATTTCTTCCAAAGCCACAAGTACTGCATGGTGATTTTGAGATTTTATGTTCTCTCTCTGTGTATCCACCTCAACTGTTCTAGAGCTCCGGGTTGGGAAACTTGGTAAGTTGGTTATTGGTGTGCATTTGACTTCCTCTCCCCAACAGGGTTCCCACGATGTACTCAGGAGTCACATGCAGTTGCAGTGTAGCCAGGCTTAGTTTCACCCTCACCAAAAGAGAATAAAGAAAGATCTTGGCAAGTAGAATTTGCTTATTAGTGAGATAGCACTCAAAAGTTGGTTTTGGTTTCTGACTAAAACGTTTTCTCCTGGAAAAACTATTGCCTAAAAATCTTAAGGTAGTTTCACAGTTGGGGAGTTAAGGAGTGACAGTTCTCTTAACTGTCTTTATTGTTCAGATTAATTAGCACTTTCCTTTTTCTTTTTTAGGGGAGGGGTGCTGGGGATTGGATGCATGCTACACAGGTGCTCTAAAACTGAGCTGTATTTCCAGCCCTTTACAACGCTGGTATTTTGCTAGGCTGACCTTGAACTCTTTCAGAGTGAGCCACTGCCTTGTGGACTGTTTATTGCTTTTCTGACTCTCCTTTTCTTTCCCAGAGGCATAATGGCAGAAACTGCTTCTCCACTGAAGCACTTTGTGCTGGCTAAGAAGGCAATTACAACAATCTTTGGCCAGTTGCTGGAGTTTGTTACTGAAGTATCGCATTTTGTTGAAGGTTTGTTCCCCTTAAATTCTCAAAATGATTATTGTTGAAAGTATATAAAGGTGGTTTTTTTATTTCCCACATTAGGAATCAAACTCACTTATAGGTTATTGTATTGTGTACCATTAACAAGCCCATATTTACCCTCTAGAGGAGGATTAAATGGTATAATAATTAATAAATAATTACTTCTAAGCACTTTACTGTATCAGTGACTGTCTTCGTTACTTTTCTTATGGCTGAGACAAAATACGCGACACCCAAATTAAAGAAGGAAAGGTTTATTGTAGCTTACAGTTTGTAGAAGTTCCAATATGTGATTGGCTGGCTCCGAGGCAGGGTGGAGAGACAGTTCATGGGATGGCAGGCAGAGAGCAGCAGTGAAGCCGCAGTTGCCCACAGCAGCCCCTTCCTGCCCCTTACTCAGGCTGCTGCCCTTCAGGGGAGGTCACACACCCAGGGTGGGCCTTCCCATTGTCCACACCCAGAGCTGTGCCAAACCAGTCAGGGGACTGATACAGCAGTAGTCACACACCCTTGATCCCAGCATCCCACACTGGAGACCCAGCCACCTCTGAGAAGTCCCACCTATGATCACTTGAGGCTTTGGGCTGACATCTAGGCACTAGACACAAGCATAACAGTGGCTTTTTTACTTCTTATATCACTGTGAGATACTCATTTTATAAGGAACCAAGGCAAAACATAAAACAACTCGTCTAACACACATCTACTAAATGCTTAAATGAAAAGTCATGCAGTCTACTGTTAGCTGTAGGCTTTATACCTGTCTCTTTAATTTAGCAATTAAGACTTCAGACTTACCTCTTCCTGTCAAATGAGGGAAAAGGATAAAAGAAGTCTTAAAATGTCAGTGTGGTGCGGTTGTACAGGCCTGTAATACTGGCACTTCAAAGGCTGAGGCAGGAGGATCACCCTCCACAATGACTATAGCGCCAGCATAAACTATGAAACCCTGTCTTACAGAGAAAAAAAAATTTGAAAAGAAAAAATATGTTGTGTAACTAGTTGTTCAAACAAAGGTGATGAGGAATGTCTTATCAGGATGTATTAATTTGGAGATAACTGTTGACATTTCTTCTGAGATTCTGATTCTTACCAGATTATGAACTTCTTGGGACTACAACCCTTTCTTTGTTTTGCAACTCATTTCAGCTGGGTGTGGTGGTGCAAGTAATCACAGGATTTTGGAGGTTGAGGCAGGAAGATTGCCACAAGTTTAAAGCCAGCCCGTATGGCAGAGCAAGACCCTGTCTCAAAAAATGAAAAAGAACACATTTCATGTGTTATAGAATGAGATTTAAAGAAATTACTGATGCAGAATCATGTGCATGTGCTACTGGGGTCTTTGCCTTAAGCTATGTCTCCAGCTCCTTTTATTTTGAGTAGAGGTCTTGCTAAAGTACCTAGACTTTGATAGAACCGTGGGGGAAGGAGGACCGGCGGCGGCTGAACAGATAAGAAGTATGAAATATAAATGACCTTTATTTTGGGAATGCGAGGAGAGACACCCCCGACACCCTGGGGCGTGGCATCTCCACCCCGGGCCGGCCATCTCTCCGTGGAACACGTGGAATGAGGCACATAAGTAGCCTTGGCTTGGGGTGGAACCTAAGGGGGGCATTAGGGATGCACAGGTAGCCCATTGGTCTTAGTTTGGCGCCAGAGGTAGATTCTTAAGGGTAGGGGAGATAGGAGCTCCTTGGCTTTACCAGCTACAGTATCAAGCCTCGGCCAAAACCCTTTCATATGTGCATCTCTAATGGCCTTAGGGCACTAAGCTTAGGCTACTTAGGCTACTTATATTCCCCACGCCACATGTCCTCGAGAGAGATCACCAAACTTCAGCGGCCGGCATGCCAGTCATCTCTCTCTGTGTTCTCAGAATAAAGGCCTCTTTTATTTTATACTTCTCATCTTTTGGAAATATTTTTCATCTTTTGGAAATAATCCTATCAGACTTAAATTTGCAATCCTCCTGTCCAAGCCTTCCAGAGTGCCAGGATTACAAACATGCACCACCATTCCCAGCTTGTTATAGTAGCTTTGTTTCCAGTTTGAAAAGAAATCGTTGGAGCACAATGACTTTTTTTTCCATTTTGTTAAACATCTTATTAAATGTGATAATGAAAGTGCCTCTGTAATCCTTTCCATACTGAAATCTCTTGGCTATGCCAAATGTCAGCAGATAGCTCCTTCCAAAAGTGGCTCACCAGTTAAATGTTACTAGGCTCTTGGTTGCTGTCTCTCTTCTGGAGTTAGAATCCAAGTTTTTCTGATCTCAAAGAAGTGAATAACATGAGCAACAAACAGTGGCAAAATCTATTTGAAAAAGAAAAATGAAGGGTGAGAAAGAAACTGGCTCTGCAGAGCAAGCTTGGCCAGAGTGAAAGAAGAAAAAGCAAGATAAAAGAAGACTGGAGAAAACAGTGGGTTACTGTGAGAAAAGCCGCAGTAGCCTTTTTTTTTTTAACTTTTTGAGACAGTTTCACTATGCAGTTTAGGCTAACCTCGAACTCATGTAGCCCAGTCTGTCGTGGAACATGTGGTAATCCTGCTTCAGCCTCTGGAATTCTGGGATTACAATGACTTTTGGAAAGTTTTTTTTTTCTAAAAAAAATTGGTAAGTGAAAATTGATAGGATTTTTGGTGAAATTAGAAGTGGCCTTTATTTTAAGAACTCAGAGGGAATCCCATGACCACTGGGGTCTGGCTTTCTCTGCTGAACATGTGGTGTGGGGGCATACATACAGCTTTGGTCTGGGGTGGTGTCTAAGGGGCATTGCTGATGCCCGAGCAGCCCATTGGAATTCATTTCCCACCACAGGTAAATTGCCTAGGGGCGGAGAAAATGACCTCAAGGTAAACGTCCTTGGTCCTGCCTCTCACTGCTGTAGTGTCCTATCTAGGGCAAAAGCCTTTCAAAAATGAAGTTAAATGTAAAATCTTCTGTGTATTGAGCCTGTTATAGGTTAAGCATAGCCTTAGAATAAATGAAAAGGCAATTTTAGAATCAGAATTCAATTTTACTAGTTCTAGAACCTCAGAAAAAAAAGTTTCCAAAAAAGAGATAAATTAAAAAAAAAAAAAAAGTAAATTTAAAATAGAGACAGACACAAATCAAGTTGAATGGGATAGCATAGGTTTATAATTCCAGAACTGTGGAAGGCTGAGGCAGGAGGATCACACAGGTTAACGTCCAGTCTGGGCAACTCAGCAATATAATCTACTGACATCCTGTCTCAGAAAATAAAAAGGGCTGGGGAATTGTGAAGGCCCTCAGTTCAATCCCCAGTAACTGTGCCTCCACCCATAAAAAAAATGACAAAACAAGGTAAGTCAGAAATGTGGAAGAGCAAGAATGAAATGAAACCAAAAGTGGGTGTAATCATACTTCGTCCTTCTTTCTGTTAGCTTAAGTTTAGTTAGATGAGCGCTGGACAGTGTTGTAAATGGCAGTGTTCCTCTCTAACTGAGATCATTTAAATAGACACGTGAGCCCGTGTCTTTCCCTTACAAAGGTGATAAGAATATAAATATCAGTTTATCACCTATTCCTGGAAGAAAACAACAGATTTTTCTACTTTTCAAACCCAGGCTCTGTGGGTAATTTGTTATTAATTCTTTTGGACAGGATTCTTAAGACCCATTGCAATGGGGGATATGCCAATACCCAGATACTACAGGCATTTTTAGATTTCACATGGCGTGTTTATGGAACAAAGACAAAATGCATGCAATCTTAGAGTTTTGCTTTGTATAATTAACTTAATATTTGGGTTACTTTTTCTAATATCATTTCTGTTTTACAGCAACATATAAGAATCCAGAACTTGACCGAATAGCCACTGAGGATGATCTGCGGGAAATACAGGGGTATAAAAACAAGCTTTCTGTGATTGGTGAGGTGCTATCTAGAAGACACATGAAAGTTGCATTTTTTGGCAGGTAATCCTTTATTGTTTCTTCTAAGCTTAGCTTCCAGAAATCAGCATTTTTTTGGTCACAGCCTTAACTTTTTCTGGTGTTGCAAGCAAGTTGTGTTTCTTCCACAGTTGTTTGTTCCTGTGCTAGGTATTGAAGTTCTTAGCATCTAAGAGAATTTGTTCATACTAGCTTCTGGTACAAAACAAAACTTTAAGATCAGTACTGTTAATTATAAGAATGGGAGTACAGATCAATGATGAGCGTAATTTGTTACTTTTTAAGTTTACATTGATTGTCAAGTATGACTTCAGAAGCACTTTGAATTCTGATTCCCAGTGGGACTGTGGGAAGCACTATGTAAGTGTCCAGAGTAGTAGAATGATTTCTGCTACAGCTTCCATTTAACAACCAGTCACTGAGGTGGGGATGTAGCTCAGTGACAGCGCTGGCTTGGAACTCAAGGCCCTGAGCTTATCCAGCACCTCAAAGATAAATATCAGCTGTTAACTACTGTGTACCTTGCACTCTCATAGACAATAGTGTTTTGGGGTGCCAGTGTCTCCTTCTGGACATAGCAAAGAATTAGTGAAGACAAGTACAAACCTTAGCAAAGTTTTATTAAAGGTAGCAAAAGAAATAGGCTTTGCAGAGAGAGTTTGGGCCAAGTTAAAGTAGAAGTATACCCCACAGTGTGAGGACGGCCACCATGCAAGAGAGAACACAGTGGCCAAACTCATTGTGGGCGTGCTTGTTTTTCACATTCCTCAGGCTGATGTCAGCTCTAGAGCATCCTATCCAAAGCTTGCTGAAGTTCTTGTGAGAAGGCCACGTGCAGGGCTTTGGGAAACTATTCTACACATGTTTCCTGTGATTTTGTAATTAAAAGGTCACAGGGCCACACTCTGATCCTGTCTCACTAGGGATATGAAGATCAGTGATTAACAACATATTTCATCTCTCTGATATCTTGCTTTACCTCAATAGACATGTTATTTATTTGCTTGCCATACTGGGGATTGAACCCAGCACCTTCCCATGGACCTACATTCTCAATTCTAGCCCTTTTTTTATTCTTAATTTTTTTTTTTTTTTCCTTTTTGAGATAGGGTCTCACTGTCTTGGCCTTGAACTCCTTTTGTGTTCCAGGCTGATCTCGAATTTGCAATAATCCTCATTCGTTTCTCCAGCCTCCTGAATGCTGGGAGTTTGCCACCATGCCTGGCTTATTTTTAATTTTGAGATAGAGTCTTCCTAAGTCACTGAGTTGTCCAGGCAGGGCTTGAACTTGTGATCCTCCTGCTTTAACCTCTAAGAGTACTGGCATTACAAATATGTACTATCACCCCCCCAACCAGAAGCATTTATTTACTAAACCTCAGCTATTTCCCATTTTATAACTTTTTAAAATTTTCTCTTAAAATTTTCTGTGTCTGTGTCATTCTTTAGATCTCATTCTAAATATTAGCACTTCATAAGCCTTCCCTAATGACTGTAAAGGGCTCCTAATTGACTATTCATTCTCTCTTTTTTTGTTTTGAGACGGGGTCTTGCTGAGTGGTTCAGGCTAGCCTAGAAATCAGCCTATGCTGGCTTTGAGCGCACAGCGGTCCTGCCCAGTCTCTTGAGTGCTGGCATTGTACCACGATGGCTTACTGGCTCCGTATGTATGGCGGCTCAGTTTAACAGTTTGTTTCTAGCTTTACAGTGGCGCAGTGGTAATACAGACTCACCTGCAACTATGTTTGGAGTTTTGATCTTTTTTTGTCCTAGCAGTATGTAGTATTTACTACATAGTGTTTACCCACTTAGCCACATGATCACCAGGGTAAACAGTCAATGCTCAACAGTGGTGGCAAACCTGTGGGACGTGCGCCATAGCAGGCTGTATCACTGAAACTTGTAAAAGGTCGCCATCACTGCTCTAGAGTATATTTACTGTGTTGGGTAGGTTAGATGCAGTAAGTGCATCAACTTTTTATGGGCTTATCAGACTGTAACCCCATCGTAAGTCCAAGAGGATTTATATTAGCTTTGGATATGAAAAGAGTCCAAAAGTGCATTCCTGGAAAAGGTCCATAAATGGAAAGGGAGGAAGCAAGAGAGACTATGGTGTGTATAGGCTGTTGAATTTAAGGTATTCAGGAACATTGCTAAGAGGATAGAGAAGTGAGCCGGTACTATAGACAGCTAACTTATATAGCAGTTAATATGCAGTCAGGGATTGGGTCTTAGGGAAGTCAGCAGAAAGAATAAGAATATCAGAGCTGCCATACATAAGGAGCCAGTAAGCCATCGTGGTACAATGCCAGGAGGTGAATCTGAAGTGGTCCACACCTCAGGATAGAAGAGCAATAGCCAGGCCTGCTTGCCTCCCTAGAGATAAGCAACAGTTTGAGGTTATATTGTACTTAGCACCATGTGGTCCAGTTTCTGTAGCCCAGATAGGCATCAGATACATAGGTGGATGCCAGAACATTTGGACCCATGCTCCGTTTCCATTCTGAAAATGCCTTTGTTCTTCTGTATACTCTTAGTACTTCACCATTGAGTCACTGTTAGCTAAACGACTTTTTTTTTTGTCTTTTTCCTTTTTTTTTTTATCGGTACCGGGGATCGAACTCATGACTGCCTGCTGGCGCTTATGCCGCTGAGCTAAACCCCCAGCCCCAGCTAAACGACTGCTATAGGTTGATTGTAATTTGCCCTGTGTGGTGATTTTGCTGTATAAATTACTCTGACAAAGATTCTCAGTGGTCACCCAGTTGGGACCCCTCCTGGAGTTCCAAGACCTATTCTTTTTCTTCTTGTTTCTAATAAAACTTTTCCAACTTTCTCCTTTGGTTTGTGACTTCATTCCTTGAGACCAAGAACTTGGCACATTTGGCATCTAACAGGTTGGAAAGTATGTTTTTCCATATTATAGCGCCTAGCTTATTAAGGACTTTAATATAGCAAGGAGCCTGCATTTTTTATATAATATCAGCAAAAAATTTTGGTATTATAACTTTAGATGTAGCAGGGAGGATAGATTGAAGGGAGAAGAGGAGACAGAAGACAGTTGCAGTAATCTAGGCAAGAGATTTAAGAGCCTCGCTTGTTAAATGGAGAGGAGGTCTTGATGAGACATATGTAAAAGGTACATGAGGCCTGGTGATTAATGATATCAGGAAGGTAAGAAAAGAGTAAAAAAAAAAATTACTTGGTTGGCTGAATGCCCTCGTTGAGATGGGTTTGTGAAAACAAGATAGAATAGTTTGGTTTTGGAGAATTTCGATGTGCATGTGTGGTTCTTACTAGGCATTCCAATGGAGGTTGTATATTTGAGATTAGAACTACACAGCATTTTAGGAAGTTTAAGACTCATTAGTTTAAGTTGATGATTGAGACCACAGAAATTGATGAGATGAAGGGAAGAGCATATAATGAAAAAGAAAAACAATGACAGGATTGGGGAGAGGAAGAGGAATCTTTCCAGAAATAGTGATGCTAGACAGGTAAAAGAAAAATTAGGAAAGACTGATATAAGATAAAACTGAGACATAGTTTGTTTTTTACCCTGTTTTTTTGTAGAGTTCCTAAAACCTTTGGAATTTCTTGAGTGATAAGAATAGCTTTTGTTATTCTGTACGTATGTATTTTTTTTTTGTTTGTTTGTGAGTCAGGGACTCACTGTAGTTTAGGCTGGGCTTGAGGTCACTATGAGTCCAGACTGGCCTCCAACTCAGTGTTCCTTTGGCTTCAGTTAGTCTTTGTTATTTATTGTTTACCCCTTTTCATTAAACCTGAGTTTCTGTTAATGAGATGACCCAGGGAGGGGGCCGGTCACCAGAAAGACTCACTGATGAGAGGATTTTTGAATTTTCAGCCCCACTTGCCATCCTTCAGGGAGAGAATTGTTGGGAGTTGGGTGGGGTGAGGAGTGTTTGGGAATTCCACCTATTTTTTTTTTTTTTTATCAATTTTTTTGTCTTTTTCCTTTTTATCGGTACCAGGGATCAAACTCACGACTGCCTGCTTGCAAGGCAGGCGCTTATGCCTCTGAGCTAAATCCCCAGCCACTCTATTTTGGTTTTTTGAGATAGTGTCTTGTTATGTAGTTCAGGCTGACTTTGAACTCACTAGGTAGCCTAGACTGGCCTTAAATTTGTGGCCTCAGCCACCACACCCAGCTCAGGATTTAGATTTATTTAACTTTTTTTGAGATGTAGCTCACGCTGGCCTTGAACAAAGTGTGTAGCCCAGTCTGTCCTCAAACTTGCAGCAATCCTCCTGCACCAGCCTCCTAGGTGTGCACCACCTTGCCCAGCTCCAGGAATAAACTTCATAAAATCTTTTGAGCAATGAAGTAGATGAATTTGTAGGTTTTAGAACACATGTAAGCATAGGAAAGGTGGCATGTTCAGAGAGGAGACTGATGCTTGACACACACAACCCATCTCTTCACCTGGCTATTGGTCTCTGTCCTAGTAATAACCTTTTAATATACCAGTAAACACAGGTGTTTACTTGAGTTCAGTGAGCTGGCCTAGTAATTTGACTATTTAGTCAAACCCAAGGAGAGGGCACCCTGATGTACACTTGCTCACTCAGAAGCACAGGTCATATGAGATTTTCAGTTGGCCTCCTTGGACCACTAAGTCCTTGTTTCTGTAGTTTCTGACACAATCTTTAGGTAGTTAGTGTCAGAAGTTAGTTGAATTCAGGGGCAAACAGTTGGTGCAGCTGTAGAGTGGTGTGGCTTGTGTGGGGATATCCTCATATATTTGGTCACAGAAGTATTCTGTGCTTAATATGAGAGTAGAGCTCTCATTTGCCCCACCCCAAACAATGGGGTTTTTCATTTTTGTTTTTTGTATCTAATTTTGGAAAGGCAGGGTGACAGTGTTTCTCAAGTTTTTGAATGCATAGGAATTACTCTTTCAGCACCTCTGGAGTCTGATTCTGCAGGTTTATAGTGTACCCTTGTGAAATCTACATCACTGATGGGCTCCTGATGATTCTTAGGAGGGCTGGGAAGACCCAAACTACTCTTGAGGATCACTGCATACAGTGATTAGAACAGTTAATTTTAAGTGAGGTTATGGGTGTCCTTATAACATATGATGTAGTGGCAATAGAAGCCATGAGGATTGCCATGAGTTGAGGTCACCTGGGCTACATCACTATTGAGATAATTACGGTGAAGTAGTTCCCTGGGGAGTAGGTTGGGACTGATATCCAGAGTATAAGTAAAGTATGACCCTTAGATCAAGAGAAAGAGGTGAAGCATTGCCAGTGATGATAAGGATGCTTTAAAAAAAATTTTTTTTTTAAAGCATGCTATTTTTGCAGATAAACCAAAGATTCTGAATAGATTCTTTGGTTTGGGTGGACTGAAAGCAAGCTCCTAGAGAGGATATAAGGTGTTCTTGGGGTTTAATGTCATCAAAAGTGTTCTGATTTTATGATTGCATAACAAATTACCTAAAACTTAGAAAGTTAGCCATTATAGTATGTTCCCTGATGCTGTCAGTCAAGAATTCAGACAGGGTTGAAAGGGGATCTTTTCTTTTTTTTTTTTTTTTTTTTGTCTTTTTCCTTTTTATCGGTACCGGGATCAAACTCAACGACTGCCTGCTTGCAAGGCAGGAGCTTATGCCGCTGAGCTAAATCCCCAGCCCCTAGGGATATCTTTTTTTTGGGATATCTTTTCTTTGCTTCATGGTATCTGAGCTTCATGAGGGTGGAGGTGGCCTCAGCAACTGAACCTAGGGTTGGAATCACCTGAAACCTTCACTCACATCTGAAACGTCACACACCTGGCTGGAACAACTGGAGGAGTAAGTCTGGCAACCAGCGCACCTAACCAGACTGCTCTGTTCAGCTTGGCTTCCCCGTAGCACAGCAGGTTTGGGACAGTTGAACTTTCCACTGGGCAAGTCTCCAAGTGCATGTGACCCAGCAAACGGGACAAAAGAAGCTTCATTGCCTTTTATGTCTAGTCTTGGAAGTCATCCAGTGTCACTTCTGACGTATTTGTCGAAGAAATCACAAACTAGCCCAGATGTAAAAAGATGGCACACGAGCCCCCGTATTGTGATGAGAGGAATATCAGAATTGGGACCTGCCTGTACATAACTCCAAACTGCCACAAGAAGCAAGAAAGAAAAATTAAATACAGCTTTATGGAAAAGTGCGCTTAGTTTCCTGGTACTTTAATTTTTCTAAATGCACATTGCTAATGTTTAGGTGAGGTTGTCAACCTTTTATAAGAAATTAATGAAATATTGATGAATTGACATTTTGAAAAAGCCCGAAATCTAGTGAAAGAAATATTGTACTGTTACATTTTCTGTATGATTTTTGCATATTCTTCAGGACAAGCAGTGGAAAGAGCTCTGTTATCAATGCGATGTTGTGGGATAAAGTTCTCCCTAGTGGGATCGGCCATACAACCAACTGCTTCCTGAGTGTTGCGGGAACTGATGGAGATAAAGCCTATCTTATGACAGAAGGATCAGATGAAAAAAAGAGTGTAAAGGTATGATACTTAACTGTTTCGGCATAAGGCATCTGAAACCATGGCCTTGCAGTTTTAAGTTCTGCATAAGATGTCTACATTGCTGGAGATGGAAGAATTGTTATATTTCTTTTCATAACTTTTAAAGCCATCGCTAACAGTCTGAGTTCTTCCTCTTTTTTTTTTCTTTAGAGCTAAATTACTAGGAAAATAATTCCTGTCCTTAATCTTTTGCAGTGTTGGTGGTTGAAGAGGATTTTAGTATGCTAGCAGTCACTGTACTACTGGGCTATACTCACTCCTGTTTCTTACCTTTGAATAAACACAAATTAAGTTTTCTTAAACCTTTAGTAAGACCAGTATTACTAAAGTGTGGTATTGCTATTTAATGTCAGATTTGTCTGGGGTTTTTTTTGTTGTCTTTGTATTGTTTTTTAAAATAGAATTTCACTATACATATAGCTCAGGGTGTACCTGAACTCACTACATAACCCAGGCTGGCCTCAAACTCATGGCGATCTTTCTGCCTTAGCATCCTGAATACTGGGATTATAGGCAGGTGTCACTATACCTGGCTTGTCTTCTTTTTTGTTTTTTAATTTTCCTTTAAAAAATAGACCTTGGAAGTAATCCCAGCACTTGGGAAAGTGAGGCAGGGGTATTGTTGCAAGTTCAGTGACTGAGGCAGGAGGGTTGTTGCAAGTTCGAGACCGGTCTGAGCTACAAAGTAAGCTCAAGGCCAGCCTGAACTGCATAGTGAAGCCCTGTCTCAAAAAGACAAAAGAAAAAAAAGACCCTGGCATCTGTTTTTGATACTATTTTTACCTCAGAAGTTACTAAGCTTCTTCATGAGTAAATGTGATAGACTTTCTCTGAGGGAGTGTTGGTGATCCAACCCAGAGCCTTGCATATGCTAGGCAAGGGGCTTTACCACTGAGCTATATCCCCAGCCCTTTCATAAATTGCTAAATTCAGTGCCACTAGATTCTTCAGCCAACAAAAGAATAAGCTAGGTAATGGTGCTATATGATGTTACTCTGACTGGAAGGAGTTGGTAAGGCACTCTTTCTCATTTTTCTCCTTCATGTCCTGGGGGTGGAACTCAGGGCTTTACACGTTAGGCAGGTAATCTACTGATGAGTGACAGCCCTGGCTTAGTCAGCGTCTCTTACATCTAAAGATCTTTTCTACAGACACAGAACTTCATCATTGAAGACCCGTCCTGTTTTAGATTTTGCAACACTGTAGGTGAAGTCATTGGTCTAGTTTTGTGATTTTGCTTTTTGACCTCCATCAGATTAACACAGTCTATCCTTGGACAAAGCATACCCTTGAAATTAGTTACGGCACAGATGAGATGATTGTGGAAATATTTTTTGTAGTTTTAACCCATACAATTAAAGAGACTCATTATTATTTTATAACTGACATTTTTACCAAATTAGAATTCAAACTGCTAGTGGCTTTAGAGAACCTCAAGAAGAAAATGTACTGTATGATTTGGTTTTGTTTTTGTTTTTTTGTTGTTTCTTGAGACAAGGTCTCACTATGTAGTGGCCTTGAACTCACTATGTTGCCTAAGCTGGCCTTGAACTCATGCTATCCTTCTGCCTCAGCCTCCTGAGTGCTGTGTTTATAGGAATACACTGCTACATCTAGCTCTGTGTGGTATTTTGAAAATGTCATCTCATTTTCCTCATCTGTGCCCTTTAGTGACTTTTTCTACCCCTTTCCTGCTGCCACATTTAAATTTGTTATCTCAAGTAGTGGCCTGCTTTACAAAGTAAGAAGACATTTTGAGTTAAAAGTACTATAACAGTTTACTTAGCAGAAGAGACACAACAATAATAGCTAGTACTTCACTGTTCTAAACACTTGCAGTAACTCAAAGCTCACCACAATTTTGTCAGATAGGTACTTTTCTTATCTTGATTATATAGGGGAGGCACAATGATTTAGTCTAAGTTTACAAATTGTCAAGATTTTTGCTAAATAAGCAGATACTCCCTGGCCCAAGCAACCTCAGCTCTGATCAGGACTACTGAACACATTTGAAAACATGTTTTCCAGGGGCTGGGGATTTAGCTCAGTGGCATAAGTGCCTGCCTTGCAAGCAGGCAGTTGTGAGTTCGATCCCTGGTACTGATAAAAAGGAAAAAAAAAAAAAGAAAAGATGGATCACTGGGTCTTGTGCCCAGGAAAGACATCTTAAAAAAAACATATTTTCCTTTAAAATTTGATACAAAATCACAAAAGAATTATGGAAGTGTATGCATAGATACTCTTTTCTTGATTTGTTTTACTATTTTTATTTTAAACTCTCCATTTAAAACATAAATGAGGCATCCTAATCTACACATTAATTTCATAAATGTGTATCAGAAGTCATGTTGAGAAATCAAAATACTTCAGGAATTTTTTTATTTTATTTTTTTATCGGTACCAGGGATCGAACTTACAACTGCGCGCTTGCACGGCAAGCACTTACACTGCTGAGCTAAATCCCCAGCCCCTATTTTAGAAATTTAATTGGAAACAAAAAATAGACCCTGATTTTAAGCAGGTTTGTATATCACTTACTGTTGAAAAAAAATGTTTTATTAAAAGGCAAATATGTGTTGACCTTTTCTATTTCCTCTGCTTATTCCTATGGAGTTTTTCCTTAAACCTGTTCTAATGAAGACATTCCTTCTAACACTGATGCTTTATTACTTAAGCAATGCACATTTGTTTCAAAAGAGTCAGAAAATACAAATAAGCACGTGGGCCAGGGCTCTACAACTCATACTTTACAAATTCGGGGTGAACTTAGGAGTTGCATAGAATTCCATTGCTAGAGTTCTATTTGTTGGTCCAGGTTGGTTTCCAAAGCTGATTATTCTTGTAGGGTAGCATCAGTAAATGGTTTTAAGGTTTTAATGGTTTTCCTGCTTGATAATTTTTTTTTAAATTGGTACCGGGGATTGAACTCACGACTGCACGCTTGCAAGGCAGGTGCGCTTATGCAGCTGAGCTAAATCCCCAGCCGCAAGGTTGGTTTTTTTTTTTTTTTTTTTTTAAATCACCTACTTGATAATTTAAAACTCATGTTTCTTAAGATTGCTCAGATGGTTTTATTTCAAACTGTTTGAAGTTCTGCCTTTGTACACATTTTGTGAAAACTGATGTTCTGAATCATGGTATTTGAAATTTTATTACAAATACAGGCTGTTTTCTTTTTTTCCTGCTTTAGACAGTTAATCAGCTGGCCCATGCCCTCCACATGGACAAAGACTTGAAAGCTGGGTGTCTTGTGCATGTGTTCTGGCCAAAGGCAAAATGTGCTCTCTTGAGAGATGACCTGGTTCTGGTAGACAGGTAAAATTACTTGTGAATGTGATTTCTCGGGTATTGTTTTATTTAATAGAACAGTGCTCTTCATTTTAGTGTACAGTACATAAAAATTGAAAACATTCAACTACTACCTTGTTCTCATTTGAGATTGTTAAGGAATAAATAAGCTGCTGATTTCTGTTTTTCTTCCCACGCCCCGCCGTAGTAGTAGGGATTGCACCCAGGAACTTAGCTTTTTGTATCCCCAGTCTTTTTTTGTTTTTGTTTTTGAGACAGGATCTCACTAACGTGTCCAGGCTGGCCTTGAATTTGTGCTGATCCTACCTCAGCCTCCAGACTGGTTGGGATTACAGTATACACTATTGCATCCGGCGTGATTTCTTTTGTAATAATTACATGTATACACACACACACACACACACACACACAAACACGTTTTTTTGAGACAAGATCTCAGTATTGTAGTTCAGGCTGGTCTTGAACTCTCAGTGATCCTCCTGCCTCAGCGTCCCAAGTGCTGGGATTACAGGTGTGTTCTCCCACTCCTGAATCCCTATGATGTGTTTTTAAAATCATCCTATTATAGTGCTTAATAAAATGATTATACTTATCAGTGAAGTATCATCAGTAGCTAAAAAACTTATGTGAGTTATTTTCTAAAATTTAAGTGCGCTCTTGTTTAGTTAGCATTTCAGTGTTCTGTGGAAACTTGTTTTTGTAGTACTAGGGATTGAAAGTAGGGCCTTTGTACTAAATTACATCCCTGGTCCTCTTTTATTTTTATTTTCTATTTTTTGAACTAACTTTTTATTAGTACATATTTGTTAAGCATGTTGGTCATTATAGGGAATTTGTGTGAATGTATAATATATCTTAATTCTTTTTTCCCCATTTCCTTCCTCTCCCTTTCACTGTCCTTCTCCCTCCCTGTTTGTACAAGGTTTGTTGCCATATTTTTCTTCCATTCTTTTTTTTTTAACCCTTTGTTTTCCTTCCCTTTACCCCCTCCCCTGTGTCCTTTCCCATGGGCATGTTTTTCCTATTTATTTATTCGCTTTAGTTTTGCTTTGTTTTTATGAGACAGAGTCTCCCTACGTAGTTCAGGCTGCCCTTGAACTTGTGCCTCAGCCTCTTGGATGCTGGGATTACAGGTGTACACCACCATGCCTGGCTTATTTTTTATTTTGAGATAGGATCTTGCTAAATCTAATTGCCCAGACGTAGTTTGAATTTTTGATAGTCCCGCCTTGGCCTCACAGAACATTGGGATTACAGATATTTGACTGCCACCTGCCACCTTGCCAGTCTGGAAATGATTTCTTTTTGATGATGCCTTCCTTTTCATTTTTCCTTTCCTTTTCATTTTTCATTGGAAAAATGTTTCAAGTAATCATTAGGAATAAGTCAAATGAGACTAGATCAAAAAAATTCTAATTATGATAGTAACTAATTTTGCCTTTTTTCTCATAGCGAGACCAAATCCATTGTTGTACCAGTTAAGGTAGATAGTTGGCAAATACTGCACTGCAATTCTTTTTCTTTTTGAGACAGCATCTCACCATGTAGTCCAGTCTGGTCTTGAAGTCATTATGTGGTCTAGACTGGCACTGAACTGACAGTAATCCTCCTGCCTTAGTCTCCCAAGTGCTGAGATGACAGGCGTATGCCACCACACCACACTACAATTCTTATAACAGTGGTGCATTAAATTTATAGGTACCAGAGAATGTTTCAGTTTTCATTATTTGTGCTTATAAGCACTTATGTCTCTAAGCTATATGGGACATAACTACTTGTACTCTTACTTCTGGCTATTAACTTAATTTCCAATACTTTTCAGCCTTTGAAGACATAAAGATTAAAAAGATTGAAATACACTTTATCAAATATCACTAATGCTTCCTAGGCATCATATAGATGACTGGTAGAAAGCTTGTCTTTTAGAATTCAAATAATGTGTACATGTTTAGGAAAAAAAATTTATAACCCTGATTTTCTTTCTAAAAAGATGTCATGTAATACAGTTTTTATTTCACTTCCATTAGTCCAGGCACAGACGTCACAACAGAGCTGGATAGCTGGATTGATAAGTTTTGCCTCGATGCTGATGTCTTTGTTTTGGTTGCAAACTCTGAATCAACACTAATGAACACGGTAGGATTTAATCTTACTGTTCTGTTTGAGTGATAGAAAATTAAGTGATGTCCATTTTAGTTTAGAAAACTGGGGAACCCCAATCATGAATTAGAAAGAACCTCCAAAATCAATGGTGAATGAAAGTGTGTTTCCATAGGACCAGAATCTCCTCTAGTGACTGTTGGGTTCCTGTAGCAATCAATCTAGGCCTTACAATGGCATTTTAGTTCACAAACTTGATTCTTTTCAGAATTTTGGTCATAAACTGAATTGGTCTCAAACTGAATCAAATTCAGTGGTTATGTTCAGTATTGCCCTTTGGGGAATTTTTTTTTTTTTTTTGGTCCCTTTTTATCGGTACCAGGTATCGAACTCACGACTGCCTGCTTGCAAGGCAGGCGCTTATGCCGCTGAGCTAAATCCCCAGCCCCCCCTTTGGGGAAATTTGATGTGGTTCTCAACCAATTCTGTTTGTAACCAGAATCGTGGAAAGAACTAAAGTTTGTAAACTGAGGTAATGAATGTAAGGTGACGAAGAATGCGATGTTGATATTTATTCTGAGTAGTTAGTTGCCAATCTCAGAGGGAATGGCTGTCAAAATGTTGAGAGACTATTTTAAGTCTCTAATAAAAATACAAGCCACTGTTGCTCCCATGCCCAGCCATCTGCCAGGGGAAGCATTTCAATATTTTCTAATCTGCCAAGCTTTCCCAGCTCTACGCATGTACAGTCTAGGTTAACAGCCTATCTGTATACACTCAAAGCTGTTGTTGAAAAAGATTATTTACCCAGAATATCCAGAGCCAAGTTCACTTCAAACAAACTTTCCATAGTTCAGATATCTAAAACTGTAACATTTAAAAATTCTTTCTGATCCACAGCAGGTCAGGGGCTGGGCATCATTATAGCCATGTTGCCAGCAGGACCTCACTATGCCATTGTGTTTAATGTTTGGATGGCTCAGTCTGTATTACAAAACCCAGGCTACTGTAAGAACACTGATAATTGTTTATAACCTGGTAGTAGGAAAAGATGCACATGTGTTTAAAACACGTATTCTAATTTTACTTATGACATTCTTTGTGGGTGTGTGGAGGGTGCTGGGAATTAAAGCCAGTGTCTTGTGCCTGCTGGGCAAGTGCTTTGCCACTGAACTATGCCTCCAACTCTCCAAGGACCACATTATGCTGGTTTTTAACCTACAGTTTGTGTACATCTGAACTTGAAGTCTTTCAACATCTCTGTTAACAGTACTTTGGGTTTTTTGCTGTTGTCATTTTTTGTTTTGAGACCGTATCCCAATACACAGCCCATGCTGGCCTTGAGCTCTCGGTGGTGCTCCTGTTGTAGCCTCCCAAGTGCTGGGACTACAGGCATGTGCCACCACACTCAGCTTAGCAGTACTTTCAAGCTTATCTTTATTGTCACTTTTTTCTAAATGGAGCGTTTCCTGATTTCAGCTAGATGTAGTTCCTTTGTCTTCTGCATTGTCAGTGTTTGTTTATAGTATTTATAGATATCTTTCTCTATGGGTCATGAAATGTTCACATATCTTACATTATTACTAATTTACTTAGCGGATTCTTAAAAACAATTTGAGGTACTTTTTGAAAGCATGGATTATTATATCCAGCATTTCCTTATATGTCCATTGTGTGGTAGAATCTTCACTTTTGTCTTCTTATGTGTTAGTTTCCTCATCTTTGAAAAATTTAATGTTCATAGGATGCTTTAAGAGCTTGTCAGTGGATGTTAACTACTATTGTCTAAGTAGTTTAAAGTTTTAAATAAAGTTTCAATTATAAAATGTAATTATAAATGTAAAAATAATCTTTAAAAAGTGAATGTATTTTGGAGTTTTTGATATTTTTCAGGAGAAGCATTTTTTCCACAAGGTGAATGAACGGCTTTCCAAGCCTAATATTTTTATTCTGAATAATCGATGGGATGCCTCTGCATCAGAGCCAGAATATATGGAAGATGTAAGTTATTTTTTCTTTATGTTTTAAAATATAATGATATGTGTTGTTTTTTGAGAAAAACAGTATACTTTAGAAGAGAGAAAGTCTAAGAAGCTTACTTAAGCTTACTTGTGAAGGAAATATAATTGCTTTTTTTATTTTTTTAAAGCCAGTCAAATTTAGCAGTGGGGGGGTGGTATACCAACTTTAGTGACACTAATGTTAGTAAGTTCTGATAACCCACTGCCATCAGACCAGCTTATAATTGCTTTTTAAAAAAATTTTATTTAGAGCTGGATGTGGTGGCTCATGCCTATAATCCCAGCACTCAGGAGGCTGAGGCAGGAGGATTGTTGGAGTTTGAGACCAGCCTGTGCTACAAAGTGAGCTCAAGGCCAGCCTCAACTGCATAGCGAGACCCTGTCTGAGAAAGACAAAAAAAAAAAAAAAAAAATTTAAGAAAGATTAAACAAAACAGAAAACAGGTAGAAATAATACATACTTTCAAAGAAAAAATAAACAGAAATCATTAGTTGATGATTACATATTGTCCTCTTACAAATAGTTGTTCAAGATACAAAAGTGAAACATACAAAGTGGGAATTCAAACAGCAAGACTGCAAACAGTTCTGTTCAACTATCCAACAAAAACTTAGTAATATGATTATGAATCTTATACACTTAAGCATACATGCAGTTATTCATATCTTTATTTATGTTTAGATTAAACAAACCATACGCTAAAATCATTCTGAACAAAGAAGAATAGTATTGCTGGATTTCACATCATGACACTACGGGATCAGCACTGGGTACTTTAGTGTCTCTTTTTCTTCAAAGTATTTGTTCATTTCATCATGTATCATAAGATCAGTTCTCATAAACTGTTTATAGGTTGTACACATGCATGAGTCTTAACATGTATTTCTATCTTTTCTATAGTAGAGGGAGAAACAAAACAAAGCAAGACAAAACAAAACATATTCCTATAAACATGAAACGAAAAAGTCATATAAAACCACTGTACAAGGAGTTCTACCATGGTTATTGTGTTGTCTCTTGTTATCTTCAATAGAATTGTCTATATCATCAGACATAGTATAACTGAATATAGCAGTACATAACAATATTAATAAAAATACAACTTTGTATATAGTATAAAACTTCAAAAACAAGTAGTAATCAAACCAGAATAGGTATCATAGTGTATCTTGTCATTTTCAGTGTAGTTGCCTGTACTCTCAGACTTGATACTATCAATCATGTCAGTTTTGGATAAAATCTGTTGATGCCAAATAGCAATCAAATCAGATTTAACTAAGATCAGTCATGATAAAACAGTATAAGTTATACAGGGATCCAGATTAAGTTATTAGGAAATTAAAGATGATTACTGTTCTATATCCTGTTATTTTTGGCATAGCTGTCTGTGCCCTCAGATCTAGTGCAAGTAGACTAGAGACTGAATAAAGAAACTGGGACTGAATAAAATCTATCTAAGCAGAGCGGTTTGAGTACTGTGGGTTTTAAATCCTGATACACTATTGACGATATCTTCTGCCGTCTTTTTTAAGACTATTCCTCCCCTTTCACTCCCCCAGGGTGCACTATGCATTTTTGAGTCTCACCAGCACCCTCAGTTTTTAGATTGGGGGGGCGACCTGCTATTTACCTAAGTAGTTCAAACCTTCTCCCTCCTGGACTTGATCTCTAATTGTATTCCTTTACCTATTTTAGCCTGTCTTTTCAACCTATCCACAAATACTGGTCTAGTTGCCCCTATTACTCTCTGGTTGCCCCTATTTTTCTCTGGTTCCCTGTCACATAGAGCATTGTTTTCTCAATTTGATTTTTGGTCCATAATCCCTTTTTCAGTTTAATTATATTTCCTATAAAGAACATCTCTGTGGGCCCTGCCTCCTCATCTACTCTTGCCTGTGTTTCTCTCTCTGTCTCACTTTTTTTTTTTAGTGTATCAAGGCCATCTATATTAGAGATTATAGGCAGCCTTCTCTGCCTCATTTCTGTTGTGCTCTTTTTTTTCCATTAGTTGTCTGCTTTTCTTCTTCCTCCCACTTTCTGCTCCATTCATTGAGGCCACTCTGCCACTTTTCCTTGAATCCTGGTACTTTTCTCTCTTTCTAGAATGTCCTTCAGTATTCTCTGTAGAGTTGGATTGGTGGTCATGAATTCCACGAGTTCCTCTGTCTTGAAAGCATCTTGTTTCTCCATTAATTTCTAGAGACAGTTTTGCAGGATACATCAATCTGGGCTGGAGGTTATTTTCTTTCAGCACTTGGAATACTTTGCTCTAAGTTCTTCTTGATTTGATGGTCTGTGTTGAGAATTCTGCTGTGATTTTGAGTTTTCCTTTATAGGTGATCTGTTTCTTTTCTCTTATGGCTTTTAATATTTTGTTCTTATATTGAATTTCTGGGATCTTGATTATTATATGTCTGGGTGTAGCTTTGTTTTGGTTGTAGCTGGCTGGAGTTCTGTATGCCTCATACATCTGAATATCATTTCCTTTTCCTATGCTTGAGAAGTTTTCCTTAATTATTTCTGTGAATAGCTTTTATAGTTCCTTTGTTTGTATGCTTGCATCTTCATTCATGTTCTTTATTCTTAAATTACAGATCCTCTTGTTGTCTTCTAGCCTTTGTATTGTTACTGCTTGTTTCCTTGTTATTTTTAAGAAATTTTTCCTTTCATAATCCCACATTGCAACCTGTCTTCCAGTTTGGGTAATCTGTCCTTAGTTTCTTTCAAGCAGTTTTGCCAGCTTTCAATGAGTTTTTTATTTCCCAGTAATCTCTTTGAACCTGCTTCATGTAGTCTGTTTTCTTTATATTCTTCATCAAATGTTTCTTTCCTTTTTTTGTGCTCCTTCATTCTTCCATCTGTGTCTTCTTGCGAGATGCTTAGCATTTCTTTTATTAATCTAGTTATATCTTGCTTTACTTGGTTAAATATTTCCCTTTTGAACTCGTCTATGAGGTCCTGAAGATATCGCTTTGTGTCCACTGGTTCCATGTTTGATACTGCATGTTTGCTGTCCTCAATCTCTTTTGTATTTACCTCTACTGGATCAATGTTATCAGGGTTGGGGGTTGGGGACTTTTTCTTGTTGCTACCTCTTCTCATGTTTTGGGTTTCTTCCATACAGGCATAGAGAGAAGGTCCCAGTCCTTTGCCTTGTTGGTTATGGTTTTTCTGAAGCGCGCTGGGTAGGTGATCCTGCCCAGTCCAGTGTGTTGTTGAAGTGCACAGAGGGGCGGTGCATGCTGGTTCCTCCCCTTTGGGTCAGTCAACCTGCTGAGGCCTTCACTGCACTAGTGTGTGCCATGTATAGGGAATTGGTTTGCGACAACTTATTTGGTCTCAGCCAGGGGCGTGACCCAGGCCAAGCATACCCCACCAATCTCATCTGGGAAGGGAATAACTGACTGAAGTCACTGCTGCTCCTTGTTCTTGCCAGTCCTGCCTGATTCCAAAATGTCATCCTGTTGGTACCCCTTTCCTGTGGAAGAATTTTATTCCCGGCACTCACTGCAGGTCAACGGCAGGTCCCTTGCCTGCTCCACTCTCCGCTGGGGTCGCTGACCTCCGACTTCAGTGTGACTGCACTTCAGTGAGACTGTGGTTCCAGTGATTCGAAGCAGTCGGAATTTGGGTGCGTAAGAGCACAGAATCTTATCTGTCTCAATAGTAGCCCCGGACCTGAATGTTTGACTGGTTCTCTTCGCTCTAGTCTCTTCCTGGGTTGAGAGGATCCATCTCCCTCTGTTTGGGACTCCCCACCCTGTACTATTTCGGTGTCTGAGTTGTCCGTCCCATGGAGCCTCCGCAATCTGCCCTATCTGTCTGCCATTCCCACCAGAAGCCAAGGGAATATAATTGTAAAAAACCTGATGTAGATTTGTTTTTTCCTCTTTCTTTCTTTCTCTTTCTTTCTTTCTTTCTTTCTTTCTTTCTTTCTTTCTCTCTCTCTCTCTCTCTCTCTCTCTCTCTCTCTCTCTCTCTCTCTTTCTTTCTTTCTTGCTAAGTAGCTCATACCTGTGACTTTCCTTCCTCAGCTTACAGAATGTTGTATTACAGTTTATGCCGTGATGCCTGGCATGAAAAGTTTGTGATAGAAACCAAAGTAGTAAGCTACTTTGAAGGAAAATTGTCTTCTAAAAGTGCTGTCTAACCATTTTAGAATTTAAAACTTTTTTTGTATAACTTTTTGTTAATGTATAATACACAGGATGGAAAAATACATATATACATCATAAATATTGAGCTCAGCAGAGTTGGCAAGTATAACACCTATGTATAAGCAGAGTAACTGCTTATCATGGCTTCTAACACCATAGGTTGTTTTTTTCAATTGTTCAACTTTATGTAATGGAATCATATAGTAATCATATTTATGTAATGGAATCATATAGTAACATCTATATAGATGTTTTATTTATTTATTGGGTGTGGTTTTTGAGACAGGGTCTCAATATGCAGTTTGGGCTGGTGTTGAGCTCACTTTGTCGCCCAGGTTGGTTTTGAACTCATAATGATCCTCTTGCCTCAGCCTCCTGAGTGCTGGATTACAGGCGTAAGCCACCATGCCTGGCTTATATGTTTTTATATCATGTGAATACTGTACTATGATTATTCTGCTGATAGACATCTGTTAAATTTCCTATATAGTATTTAGCTTCTATGAACAACACTGCAGAGCATGTGCTTGCATATGTCTTTCTGATGTGCACATACAGCATTTTTGTTGGATAGGTACATACACACTAGTGGGTCTCTGTGGCGTTTGAGTGATTATGACTTCTGGTGGATACTTGGCAGTGTCTGACGATATTTTGCTGTTTCACATTCTGTAACTCTGTGCAGCCCCTGAAAGATTTAGCGAACCCAGGTTGTCACTAATGCGGAGATTAGTCGAACATATTATAACAATTTTTTAATAGTTGACATGTCTTGCCAGGCATAATGGTGTACTCCTGTAATGCCAGCACTTAGGCAGGAGG